CCCCCCCCCCCCCCCCCCCCCCCCCCCCCCTACAAAGGAGAGAGGTTTGTTTTGAAAAGGTGCCAATCTTCCGACCTCTCTAGTTAGACAGCACCTGCACTCACGCGGGACGTGCAGTCAACCCATCCGATAGAACAATTGGGCGCCGGACAATTTAACGTCGCACGTAAAAGCCCACGTCGTCAGCAAAGCGAGGCCCAGCAGAGATGTCAACGTAATTGGTGCTTGGACCTTTTCCCTAAAGTAGGAAGGTCTGAATTTTCCCGCAGACTTCAATGGGAAATTCTTTAATTAATTCTCAAGTTTATCAAAAATGGGGGGATCTCCCCACAAGAGAATAAAATGTTTTGCTTAACTGAGAGATATACAGAATATAACTGTATGGATGAAACCCACACAGAATCTGATCTTCTGGCATCAAAAGGATCCCAAAAAATTAATAAAAATTACAACTTGCTGTCTACTGTGCACAAATGATGGAGAATGTACTCAGAAGAAGAAGCAAAAGATTTATCTTTTTATTTTAACTTTAAATTCCAAATATAATTCCTGCTTACATTTTATGATTTTAAATACAGGTGGTACCTTGAAATTCAGCCTCCTCAAATTTGGTTTGGAGTCTAGGAGTGATGAGAACAAGAGATAGTTTTGTTACATTTTGTTGGTGAGAGACAAAACTTTTCCTTGATATTTCTCTCCAATTCAAGCCTTGGTCAACTTTTATTTCTAGGAATAATGAAGGAAATCATAAATGAGCTATACAATTTGTTTCCATTCAGGTTTTGGTCGAATCTTGCATTTAGGATAGTTCAGGGCAAGTCCGACATTTGAAAATACAGTACTGTACATTGAATGTTCTTTTTTGCACAAGTTTGAAATTTCATCAAATCTGATACGGGTACAGTCCAAAAGCCCCCCTGCCAAAAGCCCCCCCCCCCTGCCAAAAGCCACCATTTGGTGCAAAAATTGGGGATTACAGGTCTACTTTTAACTCTTGATGGTAAGCTGCACCTTTCACCAGCAGGCCCAGCAAAAAAAGTAGCAATATGTTTGTAAGTTGAGTAAGGGATTCCTCACCTGCAGTGGTCATCAGTGATTCATCTTTGAATGTCAAAGCATCATCACTTGCTGACTTCTGCAAAATCTACAGTTCACCTTGTTGATGCCAGGGCTGGTGCACTTCAGATCATCAAAAATCAGAAGGGTGGTGAAAAGGCATACTACAATGACTATTTATTCATAGTTAAGAGCACAAATGCCAGTACTAGGCGCTGTAAATGTGCTAAGGAAGAAGGAGATGCGATAAGAGGTCCACATTGAGAAGAAAATGACATTGAGAGCATCAGTGACACTGAGGAAGAGGCTGCAGAAGGCAATTTTCAAGATTATCATTTAGCAGTCATTTTGAGGACTAATGAAACCAAGCAGCCCTTCTCAGGGTCACCAAACACTGTAATGAAACTTGCATCCAACAAAAGTGGGGGGGGGGGGGGCTTTTGACCCAGGGGGCTTTTGGCAGGGGGGGGGGGGCTTTCCGGGGGGCTTTTGACCTAAGGGGGGGGGGGCTTTTGGTTGGGTACCATCTGATACATCTATATCTATAAAATATTTATCCCCGAGCATTTCTTGCACAAACCAAGTTATACAAACAATCACGAATGTTTTGAAACTAATCAAGCTTGCAGTTTCCAGAGTGAATTTTAATATTGTACTTGATGAATACTCTTTCAATAAAATTCAGGAAATTTGAAAAAATTGCACATGCAGTGGAATCGCGAGATGAGTTGTGTCATTTTTCTCAATTAATTCACGTTCGTCGCGGAGACACATTAATATTTTCCCCAGTCCTAAATCAATTGTTGGCGTCTTCTGTATTACCTTTCTCGTCCTAGGAATAACCATTAAACATTCTCAGGGGACAAAAAGTCGCCAAATGCCCACGTATAATTTGTAGGGGCTCCAAGCATCCACATACAAAGGTCGACTTCGCCTGTCATTTCCCCTGCTGTCACAGGACGAATGTGCCGACATTTCAGTACAGTAGAGTATTTCAGTATTTATTTTCTTTCGATTTGTGCAAGATTTTCCAGTGTCTCATTAAATCACAAAGGTAAACACGCTTCTAGGGAAAAAAAGAGTGACTCAGCGGACTTGAATGTAGATCTAGGTCAACGCACCCACGGAACACCGCCGTTATTTCTCTTATTTTACATACGAGAGAAGCACAGATTGGATTGGGTTCTTCGTAATACGATATCCTACAAAGCAACAGGAGTTCAGAATATTCTTACTGACATTTTCCTCGAAATGCAAGCATCGCAAGACCGAGTATCGAAAGCCAACAAACTAACACAAAACGCAGATTCCTTGTTTACCATAAAAATGTTGTTTTAAAAGAATGATCATTTTTTCAAGTTTTTGTGATGATACTCTCAGATTATGTACCGACAAAAAATACGTTTTGATTTTTTTTCAGCGAGCTCATAATAATTCTTCCTGTTCGAAATTTTCGAATGGAAATATTTTTAGAATATGAATCACAATCAGCTGAGAAGAAATATCTGCGTTGAGAAGATTACTCGGATTATTTCAAAAGAAAAAACTTCACCGTTTTCCACGGAAGTCCAACTTTAGCCTGCTGTGCAAAATATTTTTACGAAGTTCTCACAGAGACAAAACTGCCACCAATGACAATCTTGAGAGCATTCTGTGAACATTTTTATAGTCTCCCAAGTTATAAAAATGCTCATAAAAGCTCTCTAATGGCTGTTTTGTCCCGACGATGAATTGAATGGACACGAATAAACATGCGGGGTTTTGCCAATTCCTAAGCTTGAAATAGCCCCATGCTACAGTATATCTGAGTAATGCAACAAGTTC